GTATAAACATGTATTCTACTGTGGATTTTTCGATCCTCAGCATCACTACACCAACTTGAATCACTGTACTCTACTAACTTGCATTCTTTTTCTTTATCAACTGCAAGAAACAAAATGCTATAGTCGAGAGTTCCTTTGAGATACCTCAGTATCCTTTTCGCCGCTGCTAGATGTGATACATTTGGCTTCTGCATGAATCTACTTACCATACCTACAACGTATGATAAGTTAGGCCTTGCGTACAAAGGTATCTTAATGATCCAATAAGTCTTCTGTATTGAATTGGATCGACATCATCTTCATCTGAGTCTTTCGACAGTTGCAACCTTGGTTCAGCAGGTGTCAAAGTCGAGTTGCATTCTTTCATCTCAAATCTCTTGAGAATTTATCCTGTATATCTTCTTTGAGGCATCACCAAACCTCTACTACTCTTGTAAAATTGATGCCAAGGAAATATGAAATGTCACCCAGATCCGACATTTCAAATTCCTTACTGAGATCACCTTTGAAGTCTTCAATCTCCTTCTTACAGCTACATGTTATTAACAAGTCATCAACTTAAAGACATAGTATAAACAATTCACTATCTCTTCTTCCTACATAAACTCCATATTCAGTTGTGCACTTCACAAATTCCTTCTCCATTAGAAAACTATCGATTTTCTTATTACAAGCTCTTGGAGATTGTTTGAATCTATATAGGGCTTTATGCAGCCTGTACATCTTTCTCTCTTTGCCATGTTTCACAAACCAACTGGTTGTGCAACATAAAACTCTTCGTCTAATGGTCCATTCAGAAATGCATATTTCACGTTCATCTGACATATCTGTCAACTGTTTATTTCTGCTAAACCAACAACTAACCTGATTGTTTCGATTCTAGCCATATGTGTAAAAACCTCATCAAAGTCGATTCCTTCTTTCTGTAGAAATCCTTTCACCATAAGTCTAGCCTTGTGTCGAGTAACTTCACCTTTGGGATTTAAATTCACCTTGTATACCCACTTCACATTGATTTCCTTCTTTTCTTGAGGAAATTTGACAAGTGACCAAGTATTGTTGTCTTCGACGGATTTCACTTCTTCATTCATTGCTTTCATCCACTTCAAATCCTTCAATGCTTCAACTGCATTGTCTGGTTCGGAATCTGCATAGAAAGCATAATGTACCAGCTCACCTTCATCATCAACCATGTCATCTGATGTAATTACACAACCTTGCAACCTTGCAGGCATGCATTTTGTTCTGTGAGGTCTGCTTGTACTTGGTTGATCTCTAACTTCCTCTTGTCGGAATTCTTTTTCGACTTGAATTTCTGGTTCCTGAAGTAAGATTCTCACTTAATATTTCTTGATATTTTTAGTCCAATCCCATTATTTAAGCTCATTTATGATCACGTCTCTGCTGATCATATTCTGCTAGTTCACTAGATCGAATAACTTGTACTCTTCTGTCGAATGATATCCAACTAGGATCATTTGACTCGACTTGTCATCAAGTTTTCTTCTTAAATTTATCGGGCACATGTCTATATGCAATAGATCCAAATACTTTTAGATGACTCAAGCTAGGGTTAACACCAAACTGACATTCTTCTAGAGTAATTCCTTTTAGCTTCTTCATCGGACATCTGTTCAAAATGTATGTTGTTGTCGACATAGCTTCACTTCAAAACTCTTTAGGTAAATACTTGTCTTTCAACATACTTCTCACCATACTTATGATGGTTCAATTATTTCTTTCTTCAGTTTCATTCTACTGTAGAGTCTAGGGTGGCACCACCTCATGTACAATCCCTTATTTTTCACATTATTTGTCGAAGTCTTTCGACACATGCTCTTAACCACCACCAGTTCTTAAAACTTTGAGCTTTCGTCCACTTTGCCTTTCGACCAAAGATTTAAACTTGGTAAATACCTCGATCACTTCACTTTTCTTCTTGATCAGGTAAGTCTATAGTTTTTTACTGGAATCATCTATGAATGTGACAAAGTATTTATTACCTCCCATCGAATCCACCTAGATTGGTCCACATACATCAGATTATATGACTTCAAGAATTTCCTTCGACTTGCTTCATGCATCCTTGCTGAAGCTGTTCTTGTGCTGCTTTGCCTGCACACATTCCTCACACACCTCGTTTGGAATGTTGATTTCTGGTAATCTTGAAACCATATTTCTTCTCTTCAAATATCTGATGTCTCCAGAGTTTAGATGACCAAGTCGATAATGCCATATCCACTCATCTCTGCTAGTTGTAGTTGATAGGCATTTGTGCTCTATCACATTTAATCCAATCTTGAAAGTCCTATTATGAGACATATGAGCCTTCAAGATTAATCTTCCTCTTGTGTCGACGACTCTCATCATCTTGTCTTCGATCGATATTTTATAATTCTTTTCGACCAACTATCTTATGCTGAATAAACTGATTTGCATGCCTAGTATGTATAACACATTAGAAATTACTGACCTCTTGCCATCTTACCTCATAATTAAAATATCGTCAATACCTTCAGCTACTAGAGTATTGTCATTTGTGAATTTCACCATGTTCTTCATCGAGGGTTTTATATTGACAAACCAATATTTCCTTCCATACATGTGTGATGAGCATCCTAAATCCAAGTACTATTTGTCCTTAAATTTCGCTTCATCTCTTGATGTGGCCATCAACATCATCTCTTCTTCTTTATACTTTGCGAACTTTGTATCACTTTCTTGATTCTTTCGCTTTTCTGGACAATCACTAGAATAGTGATCATACGTCTGATAATTGTAACACTGAATGTGACTCTTGTCAGGTTTTCGACCAACGCCTCTTCCTCTACCTCTAGCACCACCCCTTTGGCTGCCTTGGTATGGAGGTCTTCTCTGATTCGACACAATTCCTTTCTGCTGGTCTCCTCTGCCAGTCGAATTATTGTAGCCTCCTCTATTTTTGTTGTTGAACCACTTTCCTTTACCTTTCTTATCTTTTGTTGATTGAGCCTGCAAAGCCACATCACTCTTCGACTTTCTTGTAGCTCTCTCATCCATTCTCTGTTCATGATATTCAAGCGTCCCTTGAAAATCTTCTTTCGACAAATTTGACAGGTCCTTCGACTGTTCTATAACAACTACCACATGGTCAAACTTCGGAGCCAAATATCTCAAGATCTTTGAAACAACATCTCTTGTTGTTAACGTCTCTCCATAAACCTTGATTTGATTCACTAGTTTCGTAACTCTAGTGAAGAAATCAGATATACTCTCACTATCTTCCATCTGAAGCAATTCATACATTCTTTTGTGAGTTTGTAACCTCACCTCTTTCACCTTCTCAGTGCCTCAAAACGATTTCTTCAGAACTTCCCAAGCTTCTTTTACAGATTCTATGTCACTAACTTTTTCCAAATTGTCTTGACTCAAACATTGATGAATTATAAAAAAAAAACTTTATAATTCTTCTTCTTCTGAAGCGTCTTCTTAAAGAGGTTCTAATCCATATTTCACAAGATCCCAAAGATCTTGACAATAAAACACAACCTTCATCTGCTTGTACCAATTCTCATAGTTATCAGCTATGAGAATTGAAAGACTTGCTAAAAAATATCCGTTCGAATGATTCATTACCATTGTTCTTGCTTGCCTTGAATCGCTCAACTGAAGCTCCTGATACCAGACGTTGGAAATCCACCAAAAACTATGATGAATTTCAATCAATATTGATGAATAAGATTGTTATCACCACTCAATGACAATGAAAAGAAAAGAAAAAATTAAAGAACGAAAGAAATTTTGGGTTTCTGTAGAGTAACACTCTGCCCACAAACTGTGAAAATTTTTTATTCACTTTGCAACTGCAAAATTCTGTGAATACTCAATCTGAGTTGGTTACAAAAATGGGGGTTACTCCCTCTATTTATAGTTTTAGGTTAACTTTCTCCCTAATCCAAAAAGACTCAAAATTATAAAAGTCCAAAATATCTATTTTGAATCTAAATCGAAATCTGTGTGTAGCAACTTGCTGACAACATTTCGACAACTTCCTACAATTCGACAGGCTAAATTTTTCGACACACCTTGTGTTGAGCAATAACCTGTTTCGACACAAGGAATTACACTTTCAACAAAATTGATGTTAAGTTAAGTCGTGGTTAGTTTGAGTCGTTTAATAGACTGAATCCAAACTATCGCATTGTATTATTTAATTTTTTGAATTAATCAAGTTTTGAATTGTTAAAAAAAAATATTTATCCACTAAAATTACAGTCAAACACTAAGAAGACACATTACGCAATTCATGCAAACCATCTAGTCTCTGGATGAAAATCAAACTACTCATATTCAATTTAAGGAACCTTAAGTCATATTCAAAATATGGAATATAAGTTGTAAAACTGAGACTGCATACTTATATTATTTTATAAGTTTTTGACTGGACTAAATCTCTGCATCATTTTCTAGCATATGCTTTGCAAGTTGGACACTAATACTTGAATTCAATTACTTTCAATCTTTTTTTTTATAAACCACTTTTGGACACTAATACTTGAATTCAATTACTTTCAATCTTTTTTTTTATAAACCACTTTTGCGCACAATTGTTCAGACTAATCCTTCGAGTTAGAGAACATTATAAAAGATGGCAAAACTCTTTCTTAAAAATTTTAATACTGATACTATCCGGGGCTAAATTGATTAATCCAAATAGTCTTTAGTATAACATGTAGTATAATTCAACAACTTTATTAACAATTTCATAATTCACCATACAAATTTCAGTAACAGATTACAGATATTTTCTGAACCCTTCAAACAAACAAATAATAACCTTACAAATTTTATAAACTTCTTTCACTACAATGTGATTTCAATAAGTGAAAGAAGAAAAAAATGGCCCAACATTTATAGGACCTAATATTAGGCTCCTAAAATAACAATTCAACAAACCAAAAAAATCTTCTATCAGTTATTTCTTCATTTTCTATATGATATTAAAAAACATGCTAATCAATTCAAGTAGTGGCTTTCACAAGAGGTGACTGAGGAATTGGAGAATGAGGTGACATCATAATATCATCAAACCTTCTTGATTTAAGGCTCAACCTCAAGTTACTATGCCAGCAAGGTTTAGAATTCTTGTCAGAAACCATAGCCTCTTTGTTATTCTGAGTCACAAATGATCTAATTCTTTGTAATGCAATTTGCACATCTCTATCATCCATATTAGCATAACACACTCTAAACCAACCTGGTTCAGAACAATGAAATGAAACACCGGGCGAAACATTAATCTTAACTTCATGAATAATCACTCTCCATAGCTCGAGTTCTGATTCGAATGTAGCATTCTTAAGAAGTCCTCTTAAATCCATCCACACGAAAAGTCCACCATTGCTTTGTAAGCACTTGATTCCGACTTTGATTAATCCGCTGGTGAAAACTCTGTACCTTTGTGCTAACCTCTTCGCACTCTCAGCAAGAAATTTCTCGACGAATTCGTCGTCAGACAGCATTTTCGCCATCAGATACTGTGTCTGTGTTGAAACTAGTCCAAAACTCGACATTTTGCGGCTGCAATCAACGACAGTATCATTGTATGAGTATATTATACCAACTCTAAACCCCGGGAATCCCATGTCTTTTGAAAGACTATAAACTATGTGAACAAGATTACGGTCGCACTCAATGTCTGTGTCGTGTTCTATTATCTCAGCTATGCTTATGAAACTTGGGTGGCTAAAAACCGTTGCAGCGTAAATTTCGTCGCTGATTAGGTGAATACGCTTTTCGTTGATGAAACTGATGACAGTTCTTAAGGTGTTTCTGTCCATAACAGTGCCTAAAGGATTTGATGGGTTTGTGATGAGTAAGCCTTTTATTGTGATGTTATCTTGTTTGGCTTTTTCATAAGCTTCTTCTAAGGCTTGTTTGGTTAATTTGAAATTGTTTGAACTTTCACAGATAACTGGAACAAGTTTAACTCCTGTTCTCCACCTCAAATCTCTGTCAAAACTGCATTAAGAAATCAAAGAATTTCATTAGAAAAATAATTAAGATGTAGATGTCAGCAAAGTTATATATACCGGCTAAATATTACTCTCTGTCTTGACTAAATATAGATCAGATACATTATTTATTCAATTAATCTAATAAATAAATCTTCTCTTATAATATCATAGAGGAGTCTATGATAATGATTAATTTAATATAAAGTTTTTGGTGTGTATAGGATGAATACAAAGTCAACTGACTAGTGCTGCCAAACACAGTTGAAATTGAAATAATGCAAATTATTCCCTTAAGAAAAAGTCAGTGCCATCAAAATTCAATACTATAAAGAAAATTTTAAATTAATAGGAAGATAATTTAAGTTGAACACATGAAAGCTACACTTTATTGTTGTGTAAATTAATGATCAAAACTACAAATTTTTTATAGAAACTAGATACTTCTGTTCGCTGCTGCAGAGACTAATCTCACGCAGAAGAGGGTTAAATTTGAATTGAATTGAATGTGCATACCCTGGATAATAAGGAGTAGGCACCAAAAAAGCTTCACCGGGATTAGCCAAACAAAACGCGGTAGCCTCATGAGCTCCGGTTGCTCCGCCGCTCATCACGATCCGATCAGGATCAAATGTGACTCTGTTCCCCCTTGTTCTTGACATGAATTTCGCCACAGCCTGTGAAAATTCAAATTCAGGTTCAATTATATTAGATTAGATTAGATTAGAAGCATCAAAACCCTAATTCTATGCATATGATTGTAACTAACAACTCACATTTCTGAACTCTGGTAAACCATGATAATCCTGAAAATTGGCCATATGTTTGAAATTATGAACTCCTTCTAGGGTACAGATTGAAGCTTCTGGATTATCCATTATCCAATTTTGAACCAAATCAGCAGTAAGCTGATTCTCTGCAAGTCCCATTTGGATAACTCCATGGGGATTTTTGGATGGATGAAAAGGATCTTTATCATAGGCTTTCCATCCATCAAAGTAAGATGATGTTTCACCATGGCCATCACCAATGGCTATCTTAGATAACAATTGTGGTTGATCCAAGTTCATTACTTCCATTATTAACTATAGAGTATAGAAAATGGTTAATGTAGTGTAATGTAATGTGATATAGCAAAGAAATTGAAATTGTTGTGTTTATAGTTGAGAGAATAATTGAGAGATTGATTGCAATGATGTGGAGGAATCAAGTATGGGGTGTTTATTTATAGGTGGGAGAAGAATGAATTTAATGTTGATTTTGAGACATTTGAATTAATTGAGTCTAGTCAATATAATAAATCAATTGAAAAAAAAAAGGAAGGTTCATCTGAAGGAGAATGGAGAGAAGACTCTAGCAGCAAATTTCAGCTATGACCTATGATATCATACCACGTCATCTTGAGATGGCAAAAAGGACATGGTCGGTTAGATATGTCCGTTTTACTTGCGTTAAAAATTTAGTCTTACATCCTCTAATATATACTATCTATTATACTTTTTTTTTGTTTGCAAGTTTTTGCAAAATAAAATATTAATATAAAATTTTGTATTTTTAGTTTTAAAAGTGCACTGTCTGCACCGCCCTCATATTTTGTATTGTAAGGCAGAGTAAAATTTTAAACCGCACTCTCAATCATACTTAATTGTCTCCTTTTTTTGAGGATTTTTTATGATACAGGATTAAAAGGAACAAGTAGGCATGATAACTGGGCAAGTCAAAGGCGGTTTTTACCGGTGTTTTAAAAAGTGGATCGAAACGGAAATCGAAAGGATCATCGGTCTGGACTGATTGCTGGATCAGATATGATATTGAATCAGTGAGAATCGATTAGAACCGATAAAAAATGTTGAACCAACAATTTTAGAGAACTCGCAAATTAAATATATATTTTTTTCTCAAACAAAACGACGTCATTTTAATAATTTAAAAAAAATATATAATTAAAATATAATTATACTTTATTTAAAATTCATTTGGAACAACGTTTCCTTGTTTACAGTTAGACTTTGTTCAAAATTTATTTAGATTATATTTTATATTTTTTTGTATGATGATTATGTTTAGAATTTAAATTTAAATAACAAACATTTGAAATTACGATAGTTTGAAGTTGTGAAATTTTGTAGATATCGTGATATATATATATATATATATATATATATATATATATATATATATATATATATATATATATATGTGTGTGTGTGTGTGTGTGTGTGTATGTGTGTGTGTGTTTTTGTTATAGAAACCACTTTATTCGATCGAGTTATTCGGTTTAATCCAATTCAATCATGCGGCTTGACGAAGAAAGGTCTTAGGTAAAGGGATCCCCTTTCCCCTCTCCTTTTCATTTTAGTAGCAGGACTAACACAGATGCTGGCCAAGGCAACAGAATCTAGGGCACTTACGGGGTTCAAAGTCAGCGAGGCAATGTCAGCTGAATTATTTCAATTTGCAGACGACACGATAATTATTGGGGAGGGTAGATGGAGCAATTTATGGTGTATAAAATCGATATTGAGGAAGTTTGAGCTTGTGTATGGTTTACAAATTAATCTATCTAAGAGTTGTTTGTTGGGTGTTCACGTTGAGGAATCTTTTATGCAAGTAACTTCAACGTTCCCAAGTTGCAGGATTGATAAGTTTTCATTTACTTTCCCTGCCCTTCCACTTGGGTGTAATCATAGACACCAGTATGTGTGGAAAACTGTGGTTGAGAAGATGAGAAATGGGTTGTCTTCGTGGAAACGTCGAATTTTGTCAATAGGTGGTAGAATCACCCTTATCAATTCAGTTCTTAACGCAATCCGAATTTATTTTATATTTTTCTATAAGATCCCTAAGATTGTGCTAAAGGAGATGATTAAATTACAATGAGAATTTATGTGGAGTTGAGGGGTAGATAAGAAGGGAATCTCGTGGGTGAGTTGGGAGGAGGTGTGTAGGAGCAAAGATAATGGTGGTTTGGGTGTTAGAAGCATCGAGGCCTTTAATGATTCACTTTTGTGCAAATGGAGATGGGGTTTTCTTGTGGATATGGAAGCTCTTTGGAGACCTTTACTGGTGCATCGATATGGACCTTTAGAGGCAACTGCTTTCGACAAAAGGGTGTATTCGAGAGATAACAAAAACTCCTTATGGTGGAGAGACATTAAAAGTTTAGGCTCTCCATCAGAGGTGTCAAATGATTGGTTTACAAAGGGTGTCTCATGTAGGTTGGATTCAGAACGAAGAGTACTATTTTAGAAAAACAGATGGTGTGGTTGGGTTCCGTTAATGGATTCATTTCCTCTTCTTTTCAACCTATTCCAGAATCCATTTGCAAATGTTCAAGAAATGGGAGGATTCGTGGGGATATGTGGTGCTGGCAATTCCAAGGTGAGGTTATAAATCAGTCTGTGGGTGTCCAAGAGGAGCCGGTTGCACTGTCTGAACTTCTTGCGCAGGTTGGTCCTAGTGATTCAGGGGAGGAAGACAACTTCAGATGGTCCGCAAATATCGGTGGGCAGTATTGCAGTAAGGGGTGGCTATAGAGTGGTGACAGATTTGGGAGGGACAATAGCTCAAAGTTTAAATCAAAATGAGGCGTTTTCATTTTGGCTAGAGTTGTTTGAAGGATAGAGTTGCTACAAAGGTGCAATTAATGTGTAGGGGATGATACACAACAACGAGGATGACCAGTGTGTGTTCTGTTCATCGGAGCCTGAATCTTTGGACCACTTATTGCTAAATTATGCCTTCTCTAAGACAATTTGTGAAAAGATATTCTTTTGGTTGGGGTTGGCTAGGTGTGAGGACAATACAATAGTTGCGCATTTGCTGCAATTCAAACAATTACTATCGGGCAAAGTGAAACAGAGGAGAATTTTGTTGTTCTGGTTGGCGACATGCTGGACTTTGTGAAATTTTCGAAATGCTCATGTTTTCAAGAACGAAGATTCGAGGTGGGTGTCGTCGTTGATAAAATCAAACTATTAACATGATATTGGCATGCTTTAGGTTCTAAAATCAAAGGTTATAGAGATTTTTACTTTTGGTACAAAAGTCTATTGAATTTTGTACGATGATTATAAATTTTATAATTGAACGAGTACTCCTTATCCTCATTTAATCAATTTCTTCATTGCCTATAAAAAAATCATACAACTTGACCAATAAACTAATGATCAAATACCTTTATTGGTTTGATAACCAATTTTATTTGTAAAACATAATTTTTACCTCTCCTAAATTTAAATCTCCAAAGTATTCTCATTACCCATCTCAAATCTTAATAAGGATAGAGAATTAAAATCTAAATCATAGTCCATGTTTGCTACGGCTAACGTCAGCAATTTGTGGTTGAAAATTAGGCACCTGTTGTTGGAAAACAGACAATGACTAATAATAATTATGTTTTATTAGGAAATGCCAATTCGTGTTTTTTTTTCCTCAACAAAGTTGGAGAAGAAAAATAGACTTTGAGTTTGTGATGAGATTGTATACGTGCTTATTTTTTTAATAATAATATTAATAGGAATGGGTATTACTTTTTTTTTTGTGGTTGTATATTTTGTATACTTAGTTTCACCTACTAATTTGTATTTTTGCGTACGCTCTGATTTTATCAATGGTGTGAGTTGGTTGATATTCTGGACACGAAGATGTGTAAGAATTTCATAATAATGATAAATATATATTTTATCATTTCACTTAAATTTAAAAAATAAAAAGAAAAAAATTGACCCTATTATACTTACTACGTCTTAAAATAAAAATGTTTTTATGTTTAAATATCATGAAATAAATAGAACGAAAATAAAATGAAAATAATATTTTATTATTTTAAAATTTTAAAATGAAATAAGATAAATTATTCATTTTATTTAAATTGAAGGAAAAGAAATATAATGATAAATAATAGAATAAAATAGAATTCATATTACTTTATTTCCTTCCGTTCTATCTATTTTTAAATTATTTAAATAATAAAATAGTATTATTTTATTTCATCTCAATTCACTATACTCCATGTGATTCCATCGATCTAAATAAAATTTTAAAATTGTTCTGCATAAATTAAAAAATAATAATAAATAAAAGAATAAATATAATAAATTTATAAAATTGTTCTTAATTACTATTGATTATATATATTGTCATAAATGTAAAATGAGATTTAATGTATTAAGAGCGGTGCAGATAGTATTAATTAAGAGTAAAATTGATACAAATGAAATAATATTACATTAAAAAGTAAAACGATATTTATTTTGAAATAAATTTTTTAATCTAAAAAAAAATTTTTTGAGACGGAAAGAATATTATTTTTACTAATTATTTGTGTATTTTTATTCTTATAAATGCAAGAAAAAGTATTTGATTAGTGCTGTGATATATTAATTAGAGAATACATTTAAAAAGTACAAATCAAATAAAAATTCAAAACTACATTAAAAACGTATTCTTTTTAAAATATTTTGTTTTTGAAAATATGATACACTCTCTATTTTTGATTATAAGTCACTTTAGAAAAAAATCTGTATCATGATATAAGTTGTTTCATAATTTTAATTTTTATCTATTATATCCTTAAATATTTATTATTCTCTTTATTTTTAATTATGTTAATTTATCTTCCATATATTAATAATGAAAAATAATTTTATAAATTTATTTTTTATTTTTTATTTTTATATAATAATAATTATTTTTTCAATATATTTGACAAATTCAAAACGATTTATGATAAAAACCAAAGATAATAGTTATTATAAAAATAGAGAGAGTATTCAAATACAATTATAATAAATAAAAATTATTGGGTCAATGGTCAACAATTCACTGTAAAACATAAAAGTCACTTGATTTTAAAGGTGTAAAATCAACTTAAAAATGTTTTGTTATTTTTTGAGTAAAATTGATTTTGTTTTGAGAATTGGTTTTAATATAAAGATAAAATTTGTAGTTTTAACGTGATTTATGTACTAAAATTTATTATTTGTTTTTTACTACTATTTATTATTGAAATTTGCTATATTTATATATGAATTTTTTAGTACAAAATATAATATACTCCAATATTACTTAATTGGTG